TCTAAGCATACATTCAGGGCCGGATTATTTCACTTACATGCGCTAAGAAGAGAAAGAAGGAGGCTAAACAGCGAGAATTGGAAGACAAAATAAAGGACCTTGAACATAAGCACAAACGATCTGCATCAACCAGCCTTTTAAAAGATTTGAATACAACTCGTAGAGAACTCAATAGCTTACTATCAGACAAGATTGAGGGAGCCCTAAGATTCACAAATCAAAAATATTATGAACATGGAAATAGGTCAAGTAGGCTTCTAGCATTTAGGTTAAGACAACAACAAGCATCTAATATGGTACAGAAAATAAAATCCCAGGGTACCATGGTTACAAAACCGGATAAAATAGCAGAATCCTTTGCAGAGTTTTACAAGTCCTTATATAAGAATACAGGCGCCTGTTCTGACAATGAAAAACTGGATGAATTTCTTAATCGCATAAAATTAGGTGAACCGTCAGAATCAACATCCAAAAAACTGGACGAGCCGATTAAGGAATGCGAGATTAAGCAGGTTATCTCAACACTTAAAAACAACAAAAGTTCAGGGCCAGACGGCTATATTAATGAGTTTTACAAAACATTTAAAGATATATTATCCCCCCTGTTGTTGAAAGCATATGACCATGCATTACAGACAAATACTATGGTACCATCCTGGACAGAGGCTACTATTGTGGTAATACATAAGGAGGGTAAAGATCCCACCGAATGCCAGTCCTACAGACCTATATCCCTGCTTAATTGTGATCTGCGCATCTTAACTGCAATCCTGGCTCAGCGAGTTAATCAGATAATCACAGAAATTATCCACCCTGATCAAACCGGGTTCATAACTGGAAGGTACTATGGAGATAACTTGCGGCGGCTGTTAAATATAATATCTCATCAAAAGAATATGAAATCAGATTTGTTTATTATTTCCCTAGATGCCCAAAAGGCTTTTGACTGCATGTCATGGCAATACTTAGTTTGAACATTAAAACGATTCAGATTCGGTCCTAACTTTATAAGCTGGATAAAAACACTTTACTCATCTCCACAGGCTGCTGTGAAAGTGAATGGTTACAGATCGGAAAGGTTTACTTTGGAACGTGGTTGCAGACAAGGCTGCTCCTTATCACCCTTGCTGTTTGTGTATAGAGCCATTGGCCCAGTTAATTAGAGATGATGATAATATAAAAGGAATTGTAATAGGTGGAGAGGAGCACAAATTATCGCTCTACGTGGATGACGTATTATTATATTTGACAGAGCCTACACTAACAATACCTAATTTAAAGGAGCTTATCTCTAAATTTGGGTATTATTCTTATGTTATAAAGTTAATGTGGATAAAACTGAGGCTATGGACATAAACAGCAGAATCCCACAAAGTGGGAAACATCAAAGTGGATTTAAATGGCCTGAAAAGGGCATTAAATACCTCGGTATATACATCCCCCCAGCCTTACAGGATTTATTTGAATCTAATTATGGTAAATTAATTCAAAGTATACATAGTGACTTAGAACGATGGTCTATGCTCCCTCTGACCCTTTTCGGTCATTTTGAAAGTATTCGCATGAATGTTCTGCCCAGACTGCTGTACTTATTTCAGATGCTACCTGTAGAAATTCCAAATCCTCATTTGACCACTTGGATAAAATGATTTCAAAATTTGTCTGGCAAGGTAAGCGTCCTAGAATAAGGCTGAAAACCTTACAGCTATCTAAGTCAGACGGAGGTCTAAAACTTCCAAACCTCAAATACTATTTTTGGGCTTCGCAAATGAGGCCCTTGACAGCGTGGATGCAGAATAGCACACACACACGCTGGCTTAATATTGAGAAAAAGATGTGCCCAGTGCCTCTGCAGTTGCTGCCTTTTTTAAATACACCCACAAAACACATCAGACTGGATTAAGACCATTCTCAAAATCTGGAATAGAATAAAGGTCCCTTTTGGGCTACCAAAGATTATCTCATCATTAACAACCATTGGTCTAATGGAGTCTTTTACACCTAACAACCTGGATACTGGGTTCAGAAGATGGTCAGATAATGGGTTGAACTATCTGCATCAGCTGTTTGGAGGAAATGTTCTGAAAACATTTGAACAGCTGACAAATGAATTTGATCTCCCTAGGACAGACTTCTTTCGTTATCTACAGCTAAGAACCTTCTTGAAGATACAAAAGGAGTGGGACAAGCTTATAAAACCCACCCCCATAGAAGATTTCCCAATGCTTATACAAAAAGGGAAGGGTCATAAGAAAATAATTGGCAAATTGTATAACATATTTTTATCTATGAATACAGACAACTCGCTGAGGGTGAAGCAGAGATGGGAGGCGGAAACAAACATGGTGATATCGCAAGACAACTGGGAAGAGGTTTGTACAGAAGCACACTTGGTGGAGGGAGTTTAAATGGAAAATTGTGACTAGATTTTTTAGAACTCCAGAAATAACATCCAAAATGTGCCAGGCACATCCCAGCTCCTGTTGGAGGAATTGTGGAGCCCATGTGGCTAATCATACCCACATTTTCTGGTCATGTCCGAAACTAAGCTTGTTCTGGAGAGACGTATTTGATGCACTGAAAGAGGTCTTCCAAAAAGACATTCCACAAGACCCCCTGGTGGCGATACTTGGCATGACGCCTGTTGGCCTGAATGGCAGGGCCAAAAAGTACTTGTTTAATATCTTATTCACAGCGGCCCTGAAGTGCATCACCATACGCTGGTTGAAACCAGACCCGCCCTCTTACAATATATGGATCCAGAAAGTTTGGGACATTTACCAAATGGAACAAATTACATACCAATTAAGACTCCAAAAAGAAACGTTCACAACAAGATGGAGACCTGTACTGGCTTTACTAATGCAATAGAGAGTGATGTATGAAACAGTACATTCTGCTCCTGTTATTTCCATCTATATTAAAAAGGAAATAATCTTCAGAAAAGGTAAAGGGGTAATAATGGATTTGAAGTGTCTAAAAATGTAAATTCTGGTTGGCGTTTTTTGTTTTGGACTTTGAAAATTTCAAAAAAATCAGAGAATCGAAAAAGACCAAGTTTGAGTTTTCTGTTGAATCACTTCACTGATTAACACAAGACTTCACACCTGTACACGTGATATCTTTGAGTGGATTAGAATTTATTTCTTTATGATTACAACTTCTATTGATGATTTTCATTTCTCCTCTACTTTTATGAACATTTATTTATGTACTTGTTTGTTTATGTGTATATGTATATTCTTTGGAGTGGACATTTTGGTTTGTATTTTACTAATCTATTTCTGCTGGCTTAATATCCAAATGTATTTATACAGCTGGAAAAAGAAACAAACAAAAAAATATATTTTTCCTATTGTACTGTTGTTGGTGAGAAAAATGAATAAAAACTAAGTTAAAAAAACCCAATGTGGTCGTTTGACCGCTGTACTTAATTTTTATTTTTTTTTAAAGGAAAGATTGACACAGAAACAGATTCTGATATAAATTGATCAATAACATAAAGACACATGAAGATGTTACAAGTTGATTTTATTTTTTGTCCCTCCCCCACCTTGGCTCTTCCATCCAAGTCTCAGCGACCCCGCCACTTTGAAAACCACACGGCGATCATCTCATCGCTAACCCCTCACCCCAGATTTACAGGAAATGGGTTTTGAACGATTTTAAAGTTTCTCCTAATGTAATTATCACATTCCCCCCTCCTGTTGGATTTGACATTCAGATTCAGGTGAGTCCTCTTCACTGCAGCATCAGCAGCACGATCCATCCTGATGAGTAATGACAGGGCGTGACATCAGTCGACATGACAGGAAGCAGGCGACATGACAGGAAGCAGGCGGCGGCGACTTCTGCAGCGTTGGTGCATTTCACAGGAAGGTTCAGAACAGACTGGCTCCCTCAAGTGGCCAGGTTCAGTAACAACAGTTTAAATTCACCATAAAGAACTTTTATTACAGACGTCAGTTTTTTTTAAATCACATTTAAATTCATCAGTGAGATGTGTAGAGAGTGAGATGATAAAGGTATCTTACTCTCTGATCATTAAAGGTCCAATCAGTGAGCTGTGTAGAGAGTGAGCTGATAAAGGTATCTTACTCTCTGATCATTAAAGGTCCAATCAGTGAGCTGTGTAGAGAGTGAGATGATAAAGGTATCTTACTCTCTGATCATTAAGGAAACATGCTATGTTGAAGTGCTGGCTTCTCTGACAACAATGCAGCAGCCAGTATGTCCTCCTTCTAACTTTACATTCTGCTCCTGAATGCTCTGGATTTGTTTGGACCAGAGAAGGTAGGCGCTTTTAAGACACGCCCCCACACAGCCGTTTTGGACGCCCCTCAGTTTGTCAGATATGAGAGCAGTTATCAGGTCAACAGGTGTTGCAGTGATGGAAGCGGTCAAGAGAAGTGGTTCAGATAGAAGTGATTGTACCCGACCTAAAAAGCCTCTGCATGTTTCTAATAAGCTCCACGAGCAGAAACGTGCTCAAACTAGGATCAATATTGGAGATGCTTTTGAAAAATGGAGAGAGGTTAGAACACAGAAAGGTTTACAGACCCATGCAGAGCTGGATAAACACTGAAGCTTCAGAGTCCACCACATGGTGACCTGAGGAGGGGGAGACAGAGGAGGGGGAGACAGCTCTCTATGAGGTTTAGAATTTAGACTGCAGTACTCATTTTAAGGGGGGGGGGGGGGGGGCTGAACGCTCCATGTAGTGAACACAGAGAGTGTTCTGTCCAGACGGGGGGGGCGCTCACTGAACATGACCCACAGGTTGTTTCTTCTTCCTCTCTCTGGAACAGGAACAGAAACACGATTGAGGGATGTGAGCGACTAAAAAAAAAAAAAAAAAACACAAGACAACAAAAATCCTCCGTTGGCTGTCCGTCGGCGGAGTTGGTCCCGAAACACAATCAATAAAAAAAACAAGAGAACATGTCTCGACAAATAAGAATCCAGCCGATGTCAAACCGCCATTTTTCCAACCGTTTTTGGACCTCTAACCTTCTCCGGTCCGTCTGTCCCGACTCTGTAAAGGAGTCTCTGTCGGCTCGGCTGCGTCTCACTCGTACTCGGCGATCAGCACCATCATGCCGACGCCGAACAGCAGCGCCAGGATCTCCATCAGAGACTGGCCGAAACTGGAGCGGCCCGCTAACAGTTCTGGGAGGACGGTCACCGTGGCGATGTACACGAACCCGCCAGCTGTGAACGGCAGGATCCAGGCAGTTGCCGCGGCGCCAACCCCCTCGGCCAATAGGGAGCAGGCTGTGCCGGCCAGAGCTCCCAGGGCGGTGAGCAGCTGCAGACACATGGCCTGATGGGAAAGAGGAAAAGGTTAAAACACGGACAGAATCCAGGAGTGCATCACAGCGGGACGAGTTCTCACCTTCTTTTTGGTGCAGCCGGACTGGACAAGGATGGCAAAGTCTCCAATCTCGTGCGGGACCTCGTGCAGCAGGATGGTCAGGGTGGTGATGGCGCCGACCGCTGGACCGACCAGGAACGACGCCCCGATTGCCAGGCCGTCTGTGAAATTATGTGTGAAGTCGGCCGCCAGGTTCAGGTACCCCGACACCTTGATGTCTGAGAATAAAGAAGATCAGAAGGTTTAAACACACTCGAGTCCAAGAGCGACCCCCCCAACGTTTAGACGACCACACGGAGGAATGATTTAGGGAATAGGGGGGCCGTGAAGGTTAGATCAAAACAAACACTTAATTAAAAGTGTCTCTGTCATGGACCACAAGCAGGAAGTCCCAGAGAGGAGGACCACAGTAGCTAACGGCTCCCTCTCTGGACTTTGATCTAATTCAGCTAAAAGACCTCCACCTGATGACCTGAGGGTCCAGGTTGAGGTCTGTGTCCTCAGGAGCTGAACCATGAGAGCTTTATGGACTAATAAAAGGATTCTGTGTTGTACTGAGGAGCCAAAGGAGTGACGTGTTCAGATGTTCTTGTACGTGTCAGGACTCTGGGTTTAACCCAGACCCTGCTGGATTCTGCAGGACGGGCTGCAGGACGGGCTGCAGGACGGGCTGCAGGACGGGCTGCAGGACGGGATGGGCTGCAGGACGGGCTGCAGGACGGGACGGGCTGCAGGACGGGCTGCAGGACGGGATGGGCTGCAGGACGGGCTGCAGGACGGGACGGGCTGCAGGTCTACGGAGGATCCCTGCTCTCTTAAAGGAGTAAGTGTTGCTGAGTCACAAAGACTTCAGCAGAACTTTCCTGAGGCCTCTGATCACACACAGTCTCTGAATGTTATCCAACAATGTGATGAGCGAGGAATCCCAGAATGTCTTGCTTATGTATTTATAACTGATTTCCTTAAACTGCTCGACTGTGTCATCACCCGATGAGATCACACGAGGACGGGGGGGGGAGGGGGCTGCTCACCTGTGCTCTGCTCTTCTCCCTCCTCTTTCTTCTTCTCTTCTTTCTCTTCCTCTCCGTCGCTGTCCTTCGCCTTGGGGGCGTCTGAGGTCAAGGTCAAGAAGTTTCATGATTATTTGGTGAGCGCAGGAGACACAGAATACATACGGGATGTTAAACACAGCGTACCGTGCGAGTGTCCGTGCGAGTGTCCGTGTGAGTGTCCTCCCTTCAGCAGACGCACAAACTTCTCCACCACCAGGAAGGCGATGAGCCCACCGAGAACCCACAGACCCACAGACATCATGTGGGCATGAGCGGCTCCTGAGAGAGAGAGAGAGAGAGAGAGAGAGAGAGAGAGAGAGAGAGAGAGAGAGAATTGGTTATTCTCAAATTATTCAATTTAATTCTGAGTGTGGGATATTTCCCCGAGAGTTGGAGTCAAGGTCTTATTACACCGATATTTAAAAGTGGTGACAAATGTGACCCTCAGAACTACAGAGGGATATGTGCCTCAGCACTCTCATTAACCACCATGTACACCAAAAGAAAAATGTATCCTTGTTTTGTAGACTTCAGGAAGGCCTTTGACTCCATTTGGCATGAAGGACTCAAATTACTAAAAAAAGGCATAGGGGGGAAAACCTATGATTTAATTAAAACTATGTATGTAAATAACACGTGCAATTAAAATTGAAACAAAAGAACACATTATTTCAGGCAGTACCGTGGGGTGAAACAGGGCTGCAACATGAGTCCAACCCTCTTTAACATATGAACACATTCACAGAAGAAGTGCAGAAGTCCACAGCTCCTGGTGTGACCCTGCAGGACACAGAGGTCAAATGATGACCTGGTTCTCCTGTCTCCCTCCCCAGAGGGTTTACAGCAGAGCCTGGACATCCTCCACAAGTTCAGCCAAACATGGGCACTTACTGTCAATATGAACAAGACCAAAATAATGACCTTCCAAAGCAGATCCAACTCTCAGAGAAACACATTCACATTAGGAAACATAGAAATCCAGCACACCAAACAATACAAATATTTAGGCTTAGTCATCACTCCCACTGGACATGTTGGCATGGCTGTGAGTGAGCTGAAAGAGAGAGGAAGAAGGACTTTTTATGCCATCAAAAGAAAAATTCAGATTGACATTCCAATTAGGACCTGGCTCAAAATTCTCAATTCAATAATAGAGCCAATCATTTTATATGGTAGTGAAGTATGGGCCCATTAACCAACCAAGACTTCCCCAAATGGGAAAAACAGCCGCTGGACGCCCTGCATGCAGAGCTGTGTAGAAACATCCAGAGAGTCCACACACACACGGACAGTAATGCATGCAGGGCAGAACTCAGCCAATACCCTTTAATCATTAACATCACATTCTATAAACACCTCCAATCCAGTGACCCCCACTCCTACCAGTTCAAAGCCCTTCAGTGCCAGGAGATGAACCCAGATAAGAGTCCCCTCTGCCAGCTGATCCTGAAGCTCCGCCCTCAAACACCAGGGCTTCAGGACACACCCCAAACAATCTCAAAACAAAAAGACAATTATATGAAATATTGGAAGGAAAGCACCAAATCACAAAGTCAATTAGAATTCTATTTGAGCCTAAACAGAGAGTACAAGCTGGCAGAGTAGCTGAGCACAGTGAGGGATGTGAAACTAACCATGATGATGTACAGACTGAGTGGACACAGAGTGACCATAGAAACAGGCCGTCACAGACAGAGCTGGTTACCCAGAGAGGATCTCACTTCCTCCTCCACTGTGACGTACAGATTGAAGAGAGACTCTCTTTGATTACATTTATAATAAATATCCTGACTGATCCTCAGAAGCTGATCTATCTCTGTGGAGAGAAAAGTCTGTGTGCAGAACAAGCTGATAAATATGAGACAAAATACACTTAATGTTTCATAGAAATACACTGTAAAAATCATTCATGTTATTGTTAATGTCTTTTATTCACATTTTTTATACTTGTTTACTGTATATATTGTTATCATTTGTTGTATTTGTTTACTGTATATATTGTCAGAGAGACAGACAGCGAGAGAGAGAGAGAGAGAGAGAGAGAGACAGAGAGAGACAGAGAGAGACAGAGACAGAGAGAGAGACAGAGAGAGAGAGAGAGAGACAGAGACAGAGACAGAGAGAGAGAGAGAGGGGGGGGAGAGAGGGAGAGAGAGAGAGAGGGAGACAGAGAGAGGGAGAGAGAGAGAGTGAGAGGGGGAGAGAAAGAGAGGGGGAGAGAGAGAGAGAGAGGGAGAGAGAGAGGGGGAGAGAGAGAGAGAGACAGACACAGCGAGAGAGAGGGGGGAGAGAGAGTCAGAGAGAGAGAGGGGGGAGAGAGGGAGAGAGAGAGAGAGGGGGAGAGAGGGAGAGAGAGAGAGAGACAGAGAGAGAGAGAGAGGGGGAGAGAGAGAGAGAGGGGGGGGAGAGAGAGAGAGGGGGAGAGAGGGAGAGAGAGAGACAGAGAGAGAGAGAGGGGGAGAGAGAGTCAGAGACAGAGAGAGAGAGACAGAGAGAGAGAGAGAGAGACAGAGAGAGAGAGAGGGGGAGAGAGAGAGAGAGAGGGGGGAGAGAGAGAGGGGAGAGAGGGAGAGAGAGGGGAGAGAGGGAGAGAGGGGGAGAGAGGGAGAGAGAGAGGAGAGAGAGAGAACTTAATTACGTGAAGAACATCAACGTCTTAAGTTTGTTTTTTTCACCTCTGCTGAGAAATAAAAAATAAGGACACTGATGACATCATCTTTGAGAGCGTGTACCGTGAGAGTGTCCGTGGTCGTGTGACTCTTCATCGGCGTGCGAGTGTCCATGATCCTCTTCGTGGTGGGAGTGCGGCTCTGAGGAGAACAAATATGAGACAGAAACAAAGTCACATTAAACTGAGTGTGATGATGCTGCAGCGTCTGACATCCATGAAAACTGACTTTAGCAGAACTCTTTACACCGTTCACTGCCACTGTCAATGCTTCTGTTTCCATATATGTACCTCTGACCCCTAGTGGTTAAAATGTGTACTGCAGTCTGAATTCTAAACATCATAGAGAGCTGTCTCCCCCCCCCCTCCTCTCTAGAGTGGATGCTCACTCAGGTCACCATGTGGTGGACTCTGAAGCTTCAGTGTTTATCCAGCTCTGCATGGGTCTGTAAACCTTTCTGTGTTCTAACCTCTCTCCATTTTTCAAAAGCATCTCCAATATTGATCCTAGCTCAGCTTTTCTTGGATTCATGTGGGGGGCACCCCGAGGAAACCCGGGTGGGAGGCTCTGCTTTAGACGAAGAGATGCTGCGCTTTGATGACAGGAAGTAAGAATAATAAAAAAAATTAATAATAAAATAAATAATTAATTAATAAAAAAATATATATATATTATAATGAAATAAAAATAATAATAATTTAAAATAATTTAAAATTAATTAAATTAATTATAAATTTATTAAGATAAATTATTATCTGCCATTAATCATAATAACATAAGTAGATTTGTCATTATTCACCTGAATGAAGCTGCGCTCTAGCGGGGGGGGGGACTCTGGTGGGGTGACCACATAAAGAAAACGTGTTTATATTTATAGATCTGTTACATACCCAGAGCGTGAGGGATGAGGTGCAGGAAGGCATCGCCCAGCAGACCGCCTGAGGCGAAGCTGAGCAGCACCTTGAGCAGGTTCTGGTGCTGGTCGCTGTTGGACTGAACGGGGATCAGGAACAGGATGAGGAAAGGAGCGGCGCTGATCAGCAGGGTTGCTCCAATAGCCTGCAAACAGACGGGGGGGGGAGGAGAGAGAGTCCACAAAACAGGAAGTAAGGAGACTAAAGATGGGAGGAGCTTCCCCCTTAGCTTTGAGGGAACTTTGAATGAATTTAGAACATCCCACGTTTTTTCTTCGTTTTTGCTCAGAGTCACATGTTTTATAGTCACGTGTATAAGTGTAGCTGGTTGTCATGGTTACAGGCTGCAATCTCTTGGTATAAGGATTTTTTTTAAATGTCAACGGAGGATTTCAACGTGGAAATTTCTGTACATTCCAACTTCCCGGTACGGTAAATATCAGCGAGCCAGCTTGTAGAGTTAAGTTTACATCTCGGATAGCGACACAAGAAACCGTTTAAGGAGCCGGAGAGACGTTAACAGTCTGCAGAGAGTCAGACAGGTTGGAGCTCAGACAGACAGTGAGGGGAGATATAACCCCGGTGTTTCAAATGTTGCTGTCGGTGTTTTCTGCTCTCTCTCAGTTTTTAAAAGTTACTTATCAAGCTTCTCCACCTGAAGCTCACCTGTTGTGATAACTAAACCTATAGGGATTACACTAAACGACGTTACAAAGCAGCAGGCAGGTGAGAGTGAGTAACCATGGTGACTGTCTGTCTGTCAATCAACAATGTCCCGCCCCTTCTATGAATTAAACTCTTCTGTCAGTAAAACTTACTTTGATCATGTGTCACAGAATGAACACATTCTGTATTATGTTTGATTATATATAAACTAAACTAAAGTTAGTCCAATGATGTCAAAAAAAAAAAAGTCTGCAGAGCCTGTATGAAGCTCCAGCTGGAGGAACTCTGCAGGGCTAAAACAGAACAGAAACACAAGAACTTGAAGTCTACATGTTTTTAAATGAATGCATCACTGTGTGAAAATGTTCCTGATGAACATAAAAAGAGGACACATAACTAAATCATCATTTCAAAGTGGTGAGGAAAACCTTCAAATTGTTCATAAATATTGATCAAATTGAGGGAAAGACATTTCTGTTGCTAAAGACGTTCTGGGTGAGAGACCTCCAGACCTCCTACAAAGATGTTTTTCAAATAGATTAAACTTGTCTGCTCAGTTTTTGTGCATTTAAAAACATTATAGAGGGAAATAAGTTTGGTTGAACTGGTCAGTAACTTACAAATTTATCTAAAGTAGTAGCAGTAGTAGCAGCGCCGCACGAGGTGGTTGCATGTTACAGCAGCTCCTGCCCGTAACAAGGTTTTTTCCTTATTTTTATTATTCTAGCTCTTTTTTCTAGCTTTTTTTTTTTTAAATTGTTCTGTGTTCACTTTTTGTTTTCAATCTTTGCTCTTTGCTGCTGTAACAATGTAAATTTCCCCATTGTGGGATAAATAAAGGATTATCTTATCTTATCTTAAAGAACAGAATGAAAAAAATCATGATAAAATCGTGATTTTGCAAAAAAATAATCGTGATCTGATATTTGTTCCATATCGCCCACCTCTAGCCCTAATCCTCCGTCGTAGTTATCGCTCACCAAGAAGGTCACAAGTTAATTACCAAAAACATCAAAACTATTCCTGTAATTTATTTATCAACAGGCTCTTCATGTCCACATTTATCAGAGCAGCTTTAAATATTTGGGAGGAAACACCCTTTCAAAATAAAGTTCTGAGGAACACCTCAAACGAGAGACTAAAGCGCCGTACGCTGTCGTAACACGAGCTCACCTGCGTCCACAGCTCCACCACGTCCCGCTTCACGCTCTCTCCCCCGTGTGAGTGGGCGTGCGCTCTCCCCTCTTTGAGCACCCGAACAACTTCTTCATGATGAGCGTGTCCGTGGTCATGGGAGTGGGCGTGTCCGTGGTCATGGGAGTGGGCGTGTCCGTGGTCATGGGAGTGGGCGTGTCCATGGTCATGAGCGTGTCCGTGATCATGAGCGTGTCCGTGGTCATGAGCGTGTCCGTGGTCATGAGCGTGTCCATGGTCATGAGCGTGTCCATGGTCATGAGCGTGTCCATGGTCATGAGCGTGGGCGTGTCCGTGATGCTCCTCCTCCTCTGAAGGCAGGTTGGCCTCGGCGCTCCACTTGCTCGCTCCGTGGAACATCCTCACGTCTTCGTCCTCGTCGTGGGAGTGGCCGTGGTGATGGTGGCCGTGGTGATGGTCGCCATGGGAATGGCTGTGAGATTCGGTTGGCTGGGAGGCCAACAGGAGTAGTGCAGAAGTGACCACGGACAGAAGCAGCAGACGTAAGCAGCCCATAATATCACCTGAGAGACGGAGACAAACACCTGATTTACTACATGGATAAACAGTTCAGAGTCACCACATGGTGACCTGAGGGGGGGGGCAGCTCTCTATGGTGTTTAGAGTGTAGTACTGCAGTACCCATTTTAAACACTAGGGGGCAGAGTTACATATTTTGAAATCCTTTTGGATGTTTGGCTCACATTATGCTAATGTGTGTTCTTTTTCTGAGCCAACCCTATCCCCTCCTCAGGTTGATGCTAACTAACCATGCTAACTAACCATGCTAACTTAACGTCACCTGTGTCAATAAGAACATGTAGTGTAAATAAAACAGACTCTGATGTTTAACATGAATCAAACTTCTCTCAGCTTCACACATCAGACAATAAACGACTTTAATGTGACAGTAAACAGAGATCAGCTGATCAAAGTAAAGTTTAATGTGACAGTAAACAGAGATCAGCTGATCAAAGTAAAGTTTAATGTGACAGTAAACAGAGATCAGCTGATCAAAGTAAAGTCAGAGATCAGAGGTTTGTTCACTCAAGTTGTAAAGAAAGCCTGTTAGCCTGCAGCTAGCTCACATGCTAACGTGTTGCTGCAGCAGAAGCATCGCCGCTAACGGCCTCTAAAACACATAAAACTACAAAACGATTCTTACCGGAGAGTCTGAGGTGTCTCTACCTGTCCTGTCGCTGGATAAATCCCCGCCCTGTGTGTGATTAGTTCGGTTAACCGCTAATATTTCACTGTACGCTGGTAAGACGTGGCATTTACTCAAGTAAACTCATCGAAATCTCGCGGGATCCCGTTCCACTTCGCGGATATGTCTCCTTCAATGCTCCCTCGTCTTCTCAACTTGTATTCAAATATACATCTCCATGTGATATGAAACCACTGTAAGGGTATGTTGTGATTATTCAAATTCTGTATTAAGAGTTTAACCGAGGAATCTAATGGGTGTGTTAATTGGCGTTGATGTGAAGAGGGCATAGGAGGAATGATGAGGTCTAAATGGAAGTATCGCGAGAACAGTTACTTTTTGACTCATCACTGTGTAAACGAGCGAGAGGAGCATCCTGGAGGAGAGCAGGATGTTCTTCTATGTTGGCAAATAAAGAATGAGTAAGAAATCTTTTGGGTGGTTATAACTGCGTGAACGGTACAAATTTATAAATATAAAGATATAAATTTAAACATCTTATTTTTTTAATGCAAATCCACTGTCAAAGAAGAAGCTACAATTTCTCAATAAAATGAAAGGAACACATTTCTTTATGACTCACTCCTAAAAGTAAAGAAAGTGTAAATGGTGTTTGTTGGTTGATTTGAATCCTGGTTGTCTCCTTTCTTGCAACAAACAAAATGGAATTCATCTTTATAGGATCAAACTATTGTTTTTTAGGAAAGGCAGCAAATAGAAGCTTTAAATAATAAACTAAAAACAAGGTGGTAAAGTTTCCTCCGGAGCAGCTCGTTTATCTTCTCACAGCTGCTAAAGGTAGAAACATATCATTTAGCTAACGGTTAGCACGCCACACCACGGAGATGAAGCTAAAACGTGACAAATCAATATCACCACAACATAAATGAATGAACATATCACATGGTTAAAGATTATATTTATTGAGTTTTAGAGTATTTTAGCTGATTGCACATAGACTTACCTCAGGGACAGCATGGTGCAGCAACGATGCACAGGTTGCACCACTCAAGTCTGCAGGGGCCCAAGTAGTGTTGTACTGAAGTACTCGAGATCGGTCTTGGTCTCGACACTTTTTGAAGATCTGGTCTCAGAATCCAAAGCTTTTTTACTCGGTCTGAGTCTCAGACTGGACGGACTCTGGATTTGAAATGAAGACCGGTCTAGACCTCCACTGATCGTCTGTTTCTCCTCGTCTTCACTGAGATTACGATGAAAACTCCTCTTTCTAAAACAACAAATTCATTTATGGTTTGATTTTTATCCCCCGGTTACGGACGCAACCTTCCCACTGGTACAGTCTAACTGAGGGACACGCCCCCTAAACACAAGATGAAGACGTCTCACAGATATTTATGGTCTTGGTCTTGGTCTTGACTTGACTTGGTCTTAATCTTGGTCTTGGTCTTGGTCTTGACTTGACTTGGTCTTAATCTTGGTCTTGGTCTTGGTCTTGTCTTGTCTTGGTCTTGACTTGGTCTTGGTCTTGGTCTTGGTCTTGGTCTTGGTCTTGGTCTTGGTCTTGGTCTTGGTCTTGTCTTGGTCTTGACTTGGTCTTGGTCTTGGTCTTGGTCTTGGTCTTGGTCTTGGTCTTGGTCTTGTCTTGTCTTGGTCTTGACTTGGTCTTGGTCTTGGTCTTGGTCTTGGTCTTGGTCTTGGTCTTGACTTGACTTGGTCTTAATCTTGGTCTTGGTCTTGGTCTTGGTCTAGGTCTTGGTCTTGGTCTTGGTCTTGGTCTTGGTCTAGGTCTTGGTCTTGGTCTTGGTCTTGGTCTAGGTCTTGGTCTTGGTCTTGGTCTTGGTCTTGGTCTTGGTCTTGGTCTTGACTTGACTTGGTCTTAATCTTGGTCTTGGTCTTGGTCTTGTCTTGTCTTGGTCTTGACTTGGTCTTGGTCTTGGTCTTGGTCTTGGTCTTGGTCTTGGTCTTGGTCTTGTCTTGTCTTGGTCTTGACTTGGTCTTGGTCTTGGTCTTGGTCTTGGTCTTGGTCTTGGTCTTGTCTTGTCTTGGTCTTGACTTGGTCTTGGTCTTGGTCTTGGTCTTGGTCTTGGTCTTGGTCTTGACTTGACTTGGTCTTAATCTTGGTCTTGGTCTTGGTCTTGGTCTAGGTCTTGGTCTTGGTCTTGGTCTTGGTCTTGGTCTAGGTCTTGGTCTTGGTCTTGGTCTTGGTCTAGGTCTTGGTCTTGGTCTTGGTCTTGGTCTTGGTCTTGGTCTTGGTCTTGTCTTGTCTTGGTCTTGACTTGGTCTTGGTCTTGGTCTTGGTCTTGGTCTTGGTCTTGGTCTTGACTTGACTTGGTCTTAATCTTGGTCTTGGTCTTGGTCTTGGTCTAGGTCTTGGTCTTGGTCTTGGTCTTGGTCTTGGTCTAGGTCTTGGTCTTGGTCTTGGTCTTGGTCTAGGTCTTGGTCTTGGTCTTGGTCTTGGTCTTGACTTGGTCTTGTCTTGACTTGACTTGGTCTTAATCTTGGTCTTGGTCTTGGTCTTGGTCTTGGTCTTGGTCTAGGTCTTGGTCTTGGTCTTGGTCTTGGTCTTGACTTGGTCTTGGTCTTGGTCTTGGTCTTGGTCTTGGTCTTGGTCTTGACTTGACTTGGTCTTAATCTTGGTCTTGGTCTTGGTCTTGGTCTTGGTCTAGGTCTTGGTCTTGGTCTTGGTCTAGGTCTTGGTCTTGGTCTTGGTCTTGGTCTTGACTTGGTCTTAATCTTGGTCTTGGTCTTGGTCTTGGTCTAGGTCTAGGTCTTGGTCTTGGTCTTGGTCTTGGTCTTGGTCTTGGTCTTGACTTGGTCTTGGTCTTGGTCTTGGTCTTGGTCTTGACTTGGTCTTGGTCTTGACTTGGTCTTGGTCTTGGTCTTGGTCTTGGTCTTGTCTTGGTCTTGGTCTTGACTTGGTCTTGACTTGGTCTTGTCTTGTCTTGGTCTTGTCTTGGTCTTGGTCTTGATCTTGGTCTTGGTCTTGACTTGGTCTTGGTCTTGGTCTTGACTTGGTCTTGACTTGGTCTTGGTCTTGGTCTTGGTCTTGGTCTTGGTCTTGGTCTTGTCTTGTCTTGTCTTGTCTTGTCTTGGTCTTGACTTGGTCTTGTCTTGGTCTTGGCCTTGGTCTTGTCTTGTCTTGTCTTGGTCTTGTCTTGGTCTTGTCTTGGTCTAGGTCTTGGTCTTGGTCTTGGTCTTGGTCTTGGTCTTGGTCTTGACTTGGTCTTGTCTTGGTCTTGGTCTTGGTCTTGGTCTTGGTCTTGGTCTTGGTCTTGACTTGGTCTTGGTCTTGGTCTTGGTCTTGGTCTTGACTTGGTCTTGGTCTTGGTCTTGACTTGGTTTTGATTTGGTCTTGGTCTTGGTCTTGACTTGGTCTTGACTTGGTCTTGGTCTTGTCTTGTCTTGTCTTGTCTTGTCTTGTCTTGTCTTGGTCTTGGTCTTGACTTGGTCTTGTCTTGGTCTTGGTCTTGTCTTGGTCTTGGTCTTGGTCTTGTCTTGTCTTGGTCTTGACTTGGTCTTGGTCTTGGTCTTGGTCTTGGTCTTGACTTGGTCTTGACTTCTCCTCGTCTTCACTGAGATTACGATGAAAACTCCTCTTTCTAAAACAACAAATTCATTTATGGTTTGATTTTTATCCCCCGGTTACGGACGCAACCTTCCCACTGGTACAGTCTAACTGAGGGACACGCCCCCTAAACACAAGATGAAGACGTCTCACAGATATCTATGGTCTTGGTCTTGACTTGGTCTTGTCTTGGTCTTAATCTTGGTCTTGGTCTTGGTCTTGGTCTTGGTCTTGGTCTAGGTCTTGACTTGGTCTTGGTCTTGACTTGACTTGGTCTTAATCTTGGTCTTGGTCTTGGTCTTGGTCTTGGTCTTGGTCTAGGTCTTGGTCTTGGTCTTGGTCTTGGTCTTGGTCTTGACTTGACTTGGTCTTAATCTTGGTCTTGGTCTTGGTCTTGGTCTTGACTTGGTCTTGGTCTTGACTTGACTTGGTCTTAATCTTGGTCTTGGTCTTGGTCTTGGTCTTGGTCTAGGTCTTGGTCTTGGTCTTGGTCTTGGTCTTGGTCTAGGTCTTGGTCTTGGTCTTGGTCTTGACTTGGTCTTAATCTTGGTCTTGGTCTTGGTCTTGGTCTTGGTCTTGGTCTTGGTCTAGGTCTTGGTCTTGGTCTTGGTCTTGACTTGGTCTTGGTCTTGGTCTTGTCTTGACTTGGTCTTGGTCTTGGTCTTGGTCTTGACTTGGTCTTGGTCTTGGTCTTGTCTTGGTCTTGATCTTGGTCTTGGTCTTGGTCTTGTCTTGTCTTGGTCTTGGTCTTGGTCTTGGTCTTGGTCTTGATCTTGATCTTGGTCTTGGTCTTGGTCTTGACTTGGTCTTGGTCTTGGTCTTGGTCTTGACTTGGTCTTGGTCTGGTCTTGGTCTTGACTTGGTCTTGGTCTTGGTCTTGGTCTTGGTCTTGTCTTGTCTTGTCTTGTCTTGTCTTGTCTTGGTCTTGTCTTGGTCTTGACTTGGTCTTGTCTTGGTCTTGGTCTTGGTCTTGGTCTTGGTCTTGTCTTGTCTTGGTCTTGACTTGGTCTTGGTCTTGGTCTTGGTCTTGGTCTTGGTCTTGACTTGGTCTTGTCTTGGTCTTGGTCTTGGTCTTGGTCTTGGTCTTGGTCTTGGTCTTGGTCTTGGTCTTAGTCTTGGTCTTGGTCTTGGTCTTGGTCTTGGTCTTGACTTGGTCTTGGTCTTGACTTGGTCTTAATCTTGGTGTTGGTGTTGGTGTTGGTCTTGGTCTTGGTCTTGGTCTTGGTCTTGGTCTTGATCTTGGTCTTGGTCTTGGTCTTGGTCTTGGTCTTGGTCTTGACTTGGTCTTGGTCTTGGTCTTGGTCTTGGTCTTGGTCTTGACTTGGTCTTGACTTGGTCTTGGTCTTGGTCTTGGTCTTGGTCTTGGTCTTGGTCTTAATCTTGGTCTTGGTCTTGGTCTTGGTCTTGGTCTTGGTCTTGGTCTTGGTCTTGACTTGGTCTTAATCTTGGTCTTGGTCTTGGTCTTGGTCTTGACTTGGTCTTGACTTGGTCTTGGTCTTGGTCTTGGTCTTGGTCTTGGTCTTGGTCTTGGTCTTGACTTGGTCTTGACTTGGTCTTGGTCTTGGTCTTGGTCTTGACTTGGTCTTAATCT